TGTATGTATTGGTTTATCTCTTTGTTAGTTCATCTCTGCCTCTTCTTAGGATTGATGTGTGCAGCGTGGTCGCGTCTGCTTGCCTGTATATACATATATGTACAGCAGTGTATAAGAGTGTGTTAGTATGGATTAAACTTCTTGACAAACGAATAAAAAATGAAAAAAGAATAAATATTAATATTTAATATATTTAATATGTGTATTTTTACACAGATTTAGGCGCTGCATACGGCACCGCTAAGAGCGGCGTCGGCGTCAGCAGCGTGGGTGTGATGCGGCCTGACCTCATCATGCGTTCGATTCTCCCCGTCATCATGGCCGGTATCCTCGGCATCTACGGGCTCATCATCTCCATCGTTATCTCCTCCGTTAGTAAGCATTCAACCTGCTGCTGCTGTTGGTGGTGGTGTTGGTGTTGGTGGTGGTGGTGTTGCTTTTTTTTTGGGGGAGGATGCTGGTGATGATGGTTTGTCTTTGTTGTTGTTGTTGCTGTTTGAGTGGTGTTGCTGTTGCTGATTCTCTCGCTGCTGCTGCTGCTGCTGCTGCTGCAGGGCAGCGGGGTAGCCAAATAAGAATAAATAAAAATAAATAAATAAATAAAAGAAGGAGAAACCATCTCTGCATAGAACGTACATTTGTATTTTACTTTTCTGTATTTTTTCTCTTCTCTTTTTGTTTCTTCGTTCTCTTTTTTTGCTGCTGTTGTTTATATCTGTCTTCTCGTTTGTTTTTAATTTATTTTTGTATTTATTTTATTTTTATTTATTTTATTTTTATTTATTTTATTTTCATTTATTTATTTTTATTTATTTTCTGTTTTGTCGTTCAGTGGGAGCTCCAGACGTATACTCCGCCTACGCCGGTAAGCTCGGCCGTCTTTTGTTGTTTATATTTATATTTATATTTTTATATTTATATTTTTATATTTTTATTTGTTTTTATATTTTTATTTTTATTTCTATATTTCTATTTTTTTGTTTTTATTTTTGTTTTTGTTGAATTAAAATAAAATTCAGTTTTAAACGATTTTTCATTCCTTTGCTCAAATACAAATGCCGCAACCATACAAATATATATATCTATATATATATATATATATATGTATATTAATTTATTTATATTTAATTTATTTATTTATTTATTTATATTTATATAATAAAGAATATTTTATATTTTTTGTTGTTTAGGTTTCGGTCACTTGGCTGGAGGATTGGCTGTCGGTTTGAGTGCATTAGCAGCGGGGCTGGCGATCGGTATTGTAGGAGATGCTGGTGAGTTCATGCTGCTGCTGCTGCTGCTGCTGCTGCTGCTGCTGCTGTTTGTATTTCTTCTGCTGTTGCTGCTGCATCTGCTGCTGCTGCTGCTGCTGTTTCTGCATTTTCTAGTTTTGCTTTTTTTTGCTGCTGCTGTTGCTGCTGCTGTTTCTCCTTCTGCTGTTGCTGTTATTGCCGCTGTTGCTGCTGCTGCTGCTGCTGCTGTTGCTGCTGCTGCTGCTGCTGGAGCGGGGTGTATGCATGTGTATGTGCTGTGAATATAATATCAGGGGTCCGCGCGAACGCCCAGCAGCCGAAGCTCTTCTTTGGTGTCACCCTCATT